CAGGCAGGTCTCGACCCCGCGGGCTCAGGCAATCCACTCACCTCAGCCTCCCAAAGGTGTGGGATTACAGGCTGAGCCACCGAGCCTGGCCAAAAAAGCATTTTTAAAGACTCTCTCTCTCTCTCTCTTTTTTTTGGCACTCCAGCCTGGACAACAGAATGAGTTTCTGACTCAAAAAAATATATACGTTATTCTGAAGCTAGGTTCATGCCTGTAATCCCAAAACTTTGGGAGGCTGAGGCGAGAGGATTGCCTGAACCCAGGGATTCCAGACCAGCCCGGGCAACTTGCTGAGACTTTGCCTCCACAATAAATCAAAAACTTAGCCGGGTGTGGTGGCGTGTGCCTATGGTTCTAGCTACTTGAAAGGCTGAAGCGGAAGGTCGCCTGCCTGAGCCCAGGAGGTCCAGGTTGTAGTGAGCTGTGATTGTGTCACTGTACTCCAGCCTGGGTGCCAGAGTGAGACCTGACTCATAAATAAGTACATAAATAAACAAATAAATAAATAACATATATAGTTCTGCATCCAATTTTTTTTCCAGCAAACATTGTATTATGCCACTTTCTTGTACTTTACAGTTATTCTTCAATTTGACCTTAATAGCTGCACATATCTCATCTACTTGGTGGGCCATGTGTATTCACTTAGGCTGTAATTTGAGGCATTTAATGCAAAAATTTTGACTACTTTTCTTTTTTTTTTTTTTTTGAGTTGGAGTCTCACTCTGTCACCCAGGCTGGAGGGCAGTGGCACCCTCCTGGCCACTGCAGTCTCAACCTTCTGGGCTCAGGCGATCCTTCCATCTCAGCCTTCCAAGCAACTGGAACTACAGACACGTACCACCTTGCCCGGCTAATTTTTGAATTTATTGTAGAGATGTCTCACCAAGTTGCCCAGGCTAGTCTCGAACCCCTGAGCTCAAACAATCCTCTCACCTCGGCCTCCCAAAGTGCTGGGATTATAGGCATGAGCCACCACACCTGGCCTATCCTTACATCCTTAGGACAACCCCCTGGTGAGATCACCAGGTCAGACAGCATGAATGCTTCTGAGGCTCTGATGTGGAGTGGCCAGCTGCCCCCTAGGAAGGTGGAAACACCAACATTTCTGAGAAGAGAATCACCCCAAATGTACAGGAAGGCTCAGAGAGGCCTGAGGACATATAACAGGTGGGCAGCTGCAGCCCAGCTTGGGGTGGGTTGGCCCAGGGGCATGGGGTAGCCTGCATACCTGAGCAGGAAGGTGGAGGTGTCCATGATGATATTGCTGGAGAGGGTGAAGGTCTCTGCAGTGACCAGGACGCGCACAGGGAGATAGAGTGGCCTGGAGGGTCATACTTGGGTTGGAAGGCTCCTTGGAGTCAAGCATCGGTCCCTCCCCCAGCCCCCAGCCCGCCCAGTCTGGATACCGGTAGTCCACAGCACAGGAGAACAGGTGTGTGTGCAGGACAGTGATGATCGTTGGGGGCAGGTAGCCCAGCACGGGGTCGTCCAGCACATCTAAGAACTCCAGCAGCTTCAGGGGTCAGGACAGGATGGGGCAGTGAGGACAGGGTGGCCTCTTCCCTTAGGCCCCTCCCCGCCCGGCACCCTGCCCCTCGCTGCCCATCAGCTGACCACCACACCCCTTGCCCAAGAGCTCCGGCCAAGGTCAGCTCTGGCCCAGCCCGTGCTCCTCCCACCTGCAGACCTGCTCGCCCAAGCCAGGAGTCCAGAGTCACTGGGCCATGTGACTTCCCAGGCCACCCCTGCTCACCTGGGAGTGCCAGCTCTGTTCGGGCAGGGCCATGTAGTGGCGCAGAGTGGCTCTGTGCAGCCGCAGTGTCACCAGGAACTCCTGGGAAGGGGTATGCAGTCAGGGCAGAGCCCGGCCCCACCCCGTACCAGGGAGGCAGGCAGCCACCCAGCCACGGAGGTGGGGGGGGTTTGCGGGAGGGGGCTGTACCTTCACATTCTTGTGGGGGTCCAGGTGGATGCGCACAGCGGTGGACAGCATGTGGGGGCCTCGGCCCTGGCCCTGGCCCTTGCGACCCGAGGCTCCCCGCTCGGTCACGCCTTCCTCGGATGGGTAGATGGTCGGGGCCAGCTGGGCCGGGGGAGTAAAGCTGGGCAGGTCCAGGTGACTGGGCAGCGGGTAGTTGTCCACAGCCGCTGAGGAGGGTTCTCGTGAGCCCCCCGCCGCCAAGCCAACTGGCTTCCCACTCCACCGGGGGCCCATGGCCCTCCGGAGAGCCCCCCAGCCCGCCCCGAGACACCCGGTGGGGGCCAGCACCCAGCCCTCACACCTCGGTGGTAGAGCGCTGCTTTTTCGGATTCCAGACAGAAGTAGCCAAGTCCCGGCTGGCCGCGATACTGGGAAACGCTGAAGACGGTGCCTTGTTCCACATCCAGCACCAGCTCCCCGTGGGCAGCCTCCAGCCGCCGCCCACCCTCGTCCTGCGGGAGCACGCGGCCTGGCTACACCCGCGGCCCTCGGCAGCCCGCCAGCACCCACCTCTCCTCCCCTCAGCCCTGCCCCGTCTGCTTCCTCGGGCTGGCACAATGCCCCTTCTGACCCTCACGTGGTGCTCTACATACAGTGGGCGTTAACAGTGGCTGACAGGGTGCCGTGGGAGGGATCGTGCTGCCCACTGGGGCCTCCTGCTCCTCCAATCCCCACCCTGAAGCTGCTCGCGCCTGTCTCGCTCTCCTGCCAGCGGGGGTCTTGAGTTAGGGGCTGGCCTGCCCGGGGCCGCCTTCACCTTGGTCTCGCAGAGGGCTGTGATCCGACCCTTCAGCACGGTCACCAGGGTGGAGAAGGTGCTCTGGGAGTGCGGCCCCGGGGGCTCAGGGGCAGGGGCCTGGGGGGCACCGGATGCCCCCACTGAGAAGAAGTGGGCGTCCTCGTCATCCGAGTCTGAGTCTGGGGAGATCCAGGCAGCTGGGTGGGGAGGAGACCCGGGAGGGCGGGCCGGCCCTGCCCAGACCTGGGGGTCTTCCCTCCAGCCCAGCCCCAGCACCCGTCATACCCAGCTTGAAGGCCGACTTGCACATCTTAAAGTGGTCGTGCCAGAAGCCCGAGGGGCCGGGGAAGCCAGGGGGGTGAGCGGAGGGGTCGGAGGTGGGAAGCAGGCCCGCAGGCTCCCACATGAGCAGGTCGTTGTTGATCCTGGCAGACAGAGGGCAGGGGTGAGGGGAGCCGGGTTTGGCCCTTCACCCAGTCTCACCCGCCCGTGTCCCCACCTGTTGTAAACGCTCTCGTAGACCTCCTTGCTCGGCAGAAAGACGTGGGCGCTGGGCAGCAGCACTTCCAGGCTGCAGCGGGACAGCGCCAGGGTTCGGCTCTGGAACGTTCTCATCTCCTCGGGGTCTCCAGGGATCACCATCTAGACAGGCCGAGGGGGAAAGTCATCTCAGAGACGGTGGGGCCTGTCTCTCCTGAGTCCTGCCCCCCTGTTGTTCATTCGTTTATTCACAGGAGCCCCTCTGCTGGGATGCATGATGGCCCAAGGGACAAGCGCTGACGGCACACCAGCCCGGCTCCGAGGGCTGCATGGATGTCCACTCCCCTGACGCTCACAGCAGGCTGGGCACGGTGGCTCATGCCCACAATCCCAGCGCTCTGCGAGGCAGAGGCGAGGGGATTGCCTGAGCTCTGGGATTCGAGACCAGCCTGAGCAACACAGTGAGACCTCGTCTCTACAATAAATAAAAAAGTTAGCCAGGCAGGGTGGCGCAGGCCTGTGGTTCCAGCTCCTCGGAAGGCTGAGGCGGAAGGACCGCCTGAGCCCAGCAGGTCGAGGCCGTCTGTGGTGGCTGTGAGCATGCCCCTGCACTCCAGCCTGGGCAAAAGAGTAAGACTCCGACTCAAAAAGAAAAAAAAGATTCTCACAACAGGCCTGAGACAGAGAACACTCCTCCACAGGTCACTCTCCAAGAGGTTAGGCAACTCCCCAAGGTGACACAGCCACTGAGTGGCAGAGCCTGGATTTGAACGTAGGTGGTCTGATCCCCAAGGCCAGGCCTCAAACTGCCTCTCATCTAGCCCTCATCATCTTCAGAAGAGGATCCTGAGGTCCCAGTGGACACTGCTGATCAATAGTTGAGGTGAGGTGGGGTCCTGATCTCCCCAATCGAGGGCCCATGTTCCCCCAGGGGCCTGCCCTCCCCAGTGGACTGCACCCCAACCCTGTGAGTCGCGGTGCGGGGGTACTCCAGGCTGCCTGACTGGATGGAAATAACATAAGAGGCAAAATCCTCTTTGGAGCTGGGTCGCATCACAAGCACACACCCCAGGGGGGCTTGTGGCCTGGCCCACAGCCACACAGACGGCTCCCGTGGCAGAAACTGGCGTGGGGGGGGCGTGGGACAGGCCTCACCTCCTCGGTCTCGTACATGGTCCTCTTGGAGGAAAAGGGCGAAGGCTCTGGCTGCTGCAGCTCACAGGGACTCTCGGCCGACAGCTCCAGTTCCTCCCCCTTCTCTGGGGCCGCCTCCCACTGGGTGTTGCTGGCCTGGGGGTTCACGGTCACCACTACCCTGCCGAGGCACAGGCCTGTCACTGGCCTGCGGGGCCCCCAGCACTCACTGTGGTGGAACCCTCCTCTCCGGCGGCCCCTTCCGAGGACCCGCTTACTGTGGCAGGAAGTACTTGCGCCCAGGGCTCTTGGGGTCCAGGGCTTTGGAGACACGCAGGCAGGGGACGGGCGGCTTCTCTCCATCCTCATAGGTACCTGGAGGAGATGGGGAAGGGCAAGGAGGTCTTCACTGCTGCCTTTTCCTGTTTCTTTTTTTTGAGTTGGAGTCTCACTCCGTCGCCCAGACTGGAGTGCAGTGGCCGCTCCCGGACACCACAGCCTCGACCTGCTGGGCTCCGGCGATCCTTCCGCCTCAGCCTTCCGAGTTGCAGGAACTACAGGCGCGTGCTATCATGCCCGGCTAATTTTTGATTTATTGTGGAGATGAGGTCTCGCCAAGTTGCCCAGGTGGGTCACGAACCCGTGGGCTCAGGCAATCCACTCACCTCAGCCTCCCAAAGGCGCGGGATTACAGACTGAGCCACCAAGCCCAGCTTGACTTTTGATTTTTACTGTAGAGATGAGGTCTCGCCAAGTTGCCCAGGCGGGTCTTGAACCCGCGGGCTCAGGCAATTCAGTCACCTCAGCCTCCCAAAGTGCGGGATTACAGGCTGAGCCATCCTGTTTCTTTCCCAATGCCTGGGTCAGCTCAGAGCTGTGCCTGCACCCTCACCGCCCCCCACATCCCCACACCCATGGTCTGCAGTGGTCTGGCGACAATGGATCCATCTGCCTGGTGCCCAGAGGAGACCAGGGACAGGGAGTGCTGGTGCCCGCAGGCTGCAGCGGGACAGCGCCAGGGTCCGGTTCTAGAACATCCTCATCTGGACCAGAGCCTGTCTCAACTGTTACGCGGCACCTTCGGCAGCCCCAAGGCCACCCCTCCCAGAGGCCCAGGCCCCGTCCCAGGTGTTGTCAACCAGGTATCTCTCTCTTTTTTTTTTGGAGTCTCAGTCTATTGCCCAGGTTAGTGGGCAGTGGCATGCTCACGGCCACCCCAGCCTCGACCTGCCAGGCTCAGGCGATCCTTCTGCCTCAGCCTTCCAAGAAGCTGGAAATACAGGCACACACCACCACGTCCGGCTAACTTTTTGATTTATTGTAGAGATGCGGTCTCGCCAAGTGGCCCAGGCTGGTCTCGAACCCATTTGGCGCAGGCAATCCTCTCGCCTCAGACTCCCAAAGTGTTGGGATGACAGGTGTGAGCCACCGCGCCCAGCCTACGATGTGGCTCTTACCGTGCAGGTCGGAGCAGGTGAGTTCCAGACGGGTGGCAGCTGGGGGCCCGGGCCCACTGCTGAGCTCTGACCGGAACTGGGGCTCATTCAACTCCAGGCGAAGCTGCTCCGCCCGCACGGCCCGGCCCGCCCAGGGGTCCCGCTCAGGCCGCAGGTCAGCAACAGGGAAGCGCAGTCGCAGCGTGGCCTGGGGTGCTGAGAGCTGAAACACCGTCTGCTGCTCAGTCGCTGGCAGGGGCTCTGTCTGCAGGAGGTCGGGGGTCAGAGCTGCTGCCAGGGCTTCTCCCACTGTGGTCAAGTCGAGAACCCAAGGACGCCCGCCCCACTCTCCACCCAGCCCCGCCCTGGCTGGGCATCTCACCAGCAGGCCGGCAGGTGGCCCGGGGGGTGTGGTGGCCAGGCGCAGCAGGGCAGCGAGTCGGTCCAGGGCACCCAGCTCCACATCCGCCTGGAAGTTGGCCAGGTCCAGGGCCAGCTCTGAGTGGCAGTGGCAGGCGACTGAGCGCCGGGGTCGGCTCTGAGGGTGAGGGCGTTCGGGTCAGTGAGGGCTGGGGGTGTGGTGGGATGGGAAGCAGCTCTCAGAGCTTCCCGGATGGTGGGGAAGAACTGGGGAGACCTTTACCACCTTGCAGGATGCAGATGACATGCCGGGTTGTCTAATACAAGCCACTCAATGCTTGCCACTCTCGGCCCCAGAGGCCCAGCGACAGGGGGCCATGTTGAGACTGGGAAAGGGGCAACCACGCTGTAAGACCAGCATGTACAGGCACAGAGGGAGGTAGGCAGGCCCCCCTGGAATGGTGAGGTGAGGTGTGGTCTGGTGGGAGCACAGGTAAGGGGGATGGGGTGGGGAGCACAGAGTCACCCGCAGAGGCCAAGGCAGGGGTCAACACACCATGGGACGCGCCCAGCAGCCTCCAGCTGGAGAGGGGTGGGTTACCTTGGGCACACGGCGCAGGGTCTGTGTGTGGCGCAGGTGGGCGCAGGGCCGAGTGGAGGCCTGAGAGCCCAAGTTACTGGGAAAGCTTAGGATCTGGGATGGGATGCAGAGGCGAACAGGGTGAGGCCTAGCCCCCATACCCACCCACACCTCCAGACCCTGCACCGCACACATCCCGCCTCTGCCCTCACCTCTGTGTACTCGGGTTCCGAAGAGCCCCGGGGCCACAGGCACTCCAGAACCTCGAGCTGCCCAAAGTGCACATCTGTGCTGGTTGTCCGCCGGCTCCTACTGCCTGTCCGCACCTCCCAGGACAGCTGCACAGCTGTGCCCGTGAGCCTGCAAGGAAGGAGGCTTCAGGGGACAAGCTCAGGACAGCTGACGGCTGTGCCCATGAGCCTGCGAGGAAGACAGGCTTAGGGGGCTCTGATGGTCTCTCCCCAGGCCCTGCCTTGGGCTGGTACCGGACGTGGCTGCAGGGACAGGCTCTCTGGAAGCGCGGTCGGAGGTGGTGGAAGTCTCGGGAGCCGAAGGGCCCATCCTTGGTGGCATCGAGCTCAGTGAAAAAGTGGGTGGCGAGGTCAGGTGGTCCGGAAGATGGGGCAGACGTCTGAAGTAAGGTCAGGGTCACACCCCCCAAGGTCATCTTCAGCAGCGAGTCAGGGCGCATGGTGTCCGGGAGGGGTGTGGGGGCCATCTTGCCTGAGGGGACAGAGGCTTCACCGGGGGCTCCCAAGAGCTCATGGTACCCCAGGGAGAGGGATGGTCCACCATTGGGCTGGGGGTTGGAAGAAGCCCAGGGCCAGCTGGACTGTGAGAGGTCAAGTCTGCCCCATCACATGGCTCTGGCAGGGGGCTTTGGTGGCAGGGGTGACAGAGTGCCTCACGTATGCCAGCCCCTCTGCCCAGGCTCAGTTTAATCCTCTCAAGGGAGCAGGAAGGACTAGCTGTAATAACGTGCCCAGCCCAGCACCTAGCCCGCAATAAACACTCCGTAAATATCGACCAAAATATATAGTCCAACGAAGTCCGATCTTACTATCCCATTTTTATAGAAGGGGAAACCGAGTCTTAGAGAGTTTAAGTGCTTGGCCAAGAAAAGATTGGGACTTGGGCCAGGCAGGGTGGCTCCCACCTATAATCCCAGCACTTTGGGAGGCAGAGGTGAGAGGATTGCCTAACTCAGGGGTTTAAGACTAGCCTGGGCAACTTGGTGAGACCTCATCTCTACAATAAATCAAGAAAAATTAGCCAGGCATGGTGGCACACACCTGTAGTTCTGGCTACTTGGAAGGTTGAGGCAGAAGGACTGCCTGAGCCCAGCAGGACGAGGCTGCGGTGGCTATGAGCGTGCCCCTGCGCTCCAGTCTGGGCGACAGAGTGAGACTCTGACTCAAAAAAAAAAAAAAGATCAGGAATCAGAAACCCAGGTTTTGTCCATTGAACCACAGCTTCAATTGAGTTTGGTCCCCAGAGAACCAGGTCATGAACAGGGACCTCTTGCATGCATCTGATGCCCTCCAGTACCAAGGCTTCTTCCAGCCCTTCCTGTCCCTGGAGCACCCAGGGTGCCCTCACTCACCAGCCGGGTGGGCCTGGGCAGCGAGCCGGCGCGAGGCCAGGTCGCTGTGCACGGAAGAGGCCAGGTCCACATCTGAGAGCTCAGAGAGGACCGAGGCCACACTGCTGGTGAGGCCAGCCATGGAGAAGAAGAGGTCTGCGGGGGAGGAGGGGGGCGTCAGGGACAGCCAGGCTCAGCCCCTGGGCTCTCGCACCCGCACAAGCCGCCCCTGCAGCCAGGGTTGGACCCCATACCCACCAGTGCTGTCCAGGTTGGGAAGGGGGGTGGTGAGGGGGTCTGGGCTGAGGGGTTCAACCACAGCCCCTGCCTGCAGCTGCTGGTTCAGGTCCTGCTCGATCAGCCACAAGTCTTCAGCACCCAGCGGGCGGCTCTTGTTCAGCTTGTCGGCCAGGCCCTCGGGGTCTACAGTGGAGGATGCGTCAGTCCAGGATGGCCAGCCCTCCCCCAGCCACCGCACCCACGAACTGCCCAGAGGCCTCACCTGTAAGGCTCATGGCATTGAGCAGTTCCTGAAGTTGCTGCAGCTGCCTCGGGGTCAGGAGCAAGTGCAGGGAGCCCAGCTGTCCGGCCACCTCCAACTGGGGGCCAAGGGGGCAGCCATGGAGCTCCGCCCTCCACTCGGCCCCTCTGAGAGCCACACCCCACCTGCCCTTGCCCCAGGGAAGCAGGACGCCACTTGCCGGGCTAAGCTGTGTCGCCAGCTAGTTGTGTGAACCTGGGCACAACTTGAGCCTCAGTTTCTCTAGCTGCCCGGGCAGTTGTGTCCTCACTGGACACTCCTGCTCTGGCCTGGGGATGACCAGCGATCCCGGGGAGGAGTCTGAGATAAGGGAGTCAAGGTGGGGGGACTCACCTTGGGGCCCGGGAAGGCCTCATTCTGCTTCAGCTTCACCGTCAGCTCGATGTACCCGGAGCAGCTGCCAATCTGCAAAGGGGGCTCTGGCGTTTCCTCCTGGGAGGCAAGAGGACACAGGAGGGGAGCGCTGAGGCGTCAGAGACGGTCAGGGAATGGAAGGGGCCAGAGGGCTCAAGGGGCTGGCAGGAGGAAGGGACCCTGGGGCTCGGAGCCGGCCTACCTGGGCGGGGAGCTCCTCGAAGTGCAGGCGGACCCCTGCCAGCTGCAGCAGCTTGTGGAGGAAGGCGGGTGGCTGGTGCACATCAACCGGGGGCGCCTGGCTTGGGTCCCGCACCGCCTCGTCACAGTACTCCAATCTGGGGAATGCAGGGTCAGCCCCCGCCCCGGCCACCCCAGGCCCAGAGCCCCCCTCTCCACACGGTTCTGGGGGCCTGGGGTCAGGGAGCCCGGCCTGCAGAGCTCCCAGGAGGGGACCATGTGAATCGGAGCTGGCCCAGGGTCCTGGGCCACCGTGTCCAGCTTGGAGGCTCAGGCCAGCCCTTGCTCCTCAGATCCTCAGCATCTGACCTGTTCTCGGGGTCCTGGCCACTCGGTGCCAACACTACCTGGCCCTCTGGAGGCCAGTTCGGGCTCACAACACAGCCCTCCTACCCAATCCTACCACCCCCAGCCCCCCCAGACAACCCCTGCCGTTTCCAGGAACCCAGGCTGGGGGCCGGGGGCAGAGGCAGGGCCATCCGGCAGCTCCCACCCCAGCTCCACACCGGCCCACCCAGGCTGGCCCGCACCCACCTCTGCACGTGGGCCTCCACGGCCACACCGCGCTTCCTGTCTCCCGGGGAGTGCTCCACCCTCACGACAGTGTCCAGGAAGGTCACCTTGATCCTCCGTAGCACTGGGGGTGGGACAGGGGTCTCAGGTCAGGCAGAGAAGCAAGGGGGGAGGCAGCTTCCCCCTGGGCTGCAGGGTGGCCACACTGCCATCTGGAGCCCCGGTCCTGGGGCCCATGGAGGGGCAGGGGGCATGATGGCCGGGAGTGGCCCGCGCACCTGTCTCAATGGTCTGGGCAAACATCTCCAGCCCCTCCAGGGGCTGGGGCGGCTCAGAGGGCTCGGGCAGCCCCTCCCGTAGACACTCCTGGGCCAGCTGCAGGCTCGTGGTCATGCACGAGGCCCAGGTCTGCGAGTCGGCAGTCCCTGGCCCTGGCAGGAGGAAGAGGGTCTCAAGGCAGGCAGGCTCCGCCAGCTCCGGGGTCCCCGGCCCACTCCTCACCCAGGCCTGGCCCCTGCCTCGTCCCACCCTCACCTGGGCCCTGGCGGGGCTGCAGGGTGAGCTGGAGGCCTGACACGCGCACCGTGCAGTGGTCGGTGAGCAGAGCCGCCCAGGGCACGGCCACCTCGATGGAGCCCACGAAGCCTTCCACCAGCTCCAGTGGCGACTCCATGGACTCCAGCACCTCGTTCACAGACTGGGAAGAGGCAGAGGACAAAGCCAGCTCAGGGCAACACCATACCGGCTGGCCGCCACCGCCTCGTCTGGCCATGCTGCCTTGAGAGCACCCTCAGTTTTCCCCATTGCTCCACCTGTTACCTACAAGGTCCCTCCTTTGCTCATGCTGTTCCCTTCCCCTGGCCTGCCCCGTCACCCCATCTTCTAAGTGTCCAACCCCTCAAGCCCGCTCAAATGTTTCCCTCTCCATTCTGTTAAAAATGACATTGACAACCGGGTGCAGTGGCTCATGCCTGTAATCCAAGCACTGCAAGAGGCCAAAGCAGGAGGATTGCTTGAGCCCAGGAGTTTGAGACCAGCCTGGGCAACACAGCAAGATCTTGTCTCTACAAAAAAAAAATTTTTAATCAGCCAGGTGTGGCCGTGTGCGCCTGCAGGCTCAGCTACTTGGGAGGCTGAGGTGGGAGATTGCCTGAGCCCAGGAGTTCGAAGTTGCGGTGAGCTGTGATCGTGCCACTGGACTCTAGCCTGGGCAACGGAGTAAGACCCCAACTCAAAAAGCAAACAAACAGATTAAAAACGATATTTATGCCGGGCTCAGTGGCTCAGCCTGTAATCCCAGCACTTTGGGAGGCTGAGGTGAGTGGATTGCCTGAGCCCGC